CATCATTGGGATCTTGTACCATTACATGAGTATCTTGGTTCTTATTTTTCCCCCTTCCCCTGCCCTCCTTTCACCCCCTCCACCCTTACCTATTTGCAGAGATTTTGTTTCCATTTTTTTCCTTTTCTCATATTTTTTTCTTTTCCCTTCTTTCCTTTCCCCTACCCCTCCCACTTCCCCTACTCCTTTCGACCTTTTCTTCCTATTACACAATATCACTTATACATTTTTAAAATTACAATATCAAGACCTAGGAGACATTATGACAGATTTTACAGAATTTAAAAGGATATAGAAAGCATATTTCAAAAATCTTTTTTGAAATAAATTTGATAGCTTCTAAGAAGTACCTTGGAAGACAAATTAATGAAACTAACTCTGGAGGAAATATAAAATTTGAATAGCACCTATTAAAGAAAGTATATTCCTAACTTGAAAACCTACCTATATGACAACAGCAGGCTCATACGCATTTTAACTGATAAATTATATCAAACAAAGCAGAGAAAAGAAGGGACACTTCTCCCCTCATTTTAGGAAATCAACATTGTGCAGTGAGGGTTTTGATCTTTTCCCAAACAGCAGTTGATTTTAAACAGTGAGTGTCATCGTGTGATTTTGGAAAGATTTCTCTCCTGCTTTGTGAAAGTTAGACTGTGGCAGGGGCTGTGGAGTGAGATTGGACTGCAAAAAGGAAGCAAAGAATGACACCTAGATTTTCAGCTTTTGCCACATGGATAAATGGCCAGGCTGTTTAAAGGAGGAGCACCAGAAGAGAATTAGGTTTGTACAGAAAACATGGATTTTGTCTGTAGTATGTTGAGCTTGAAGTGGTGTGGAGTCATGTAGGTGGCTGGTAAGTGCAGTCTGGGCTGGAGGTACAGAACTGAGGATTGTCTGTGTAGAGGATTTGGAAAGAGAGAAATGGGATGAGAAGTGGGCCTGGATATGGAGGGCACTGCAGTATTGGATGAACAGACAGCAGAGCATGAAATTCCAAAAAAGCTGGAGAAGTAGGAAGAAGAGATAACCAGGGGAGTGTGGTGGGATCCTGGAAGCCTACAGGAACTAATGTTTCAGAATGAGGAAGTGACCCATCTGTCTAGTGTTGAAGGAATGGACACTGAAAAATATCCTTTATTTGGAGGTCCCCGGAGGCACAATGGGAACAGAAAACAGATTGGAATGAATGGAGGTGAGGCAATGAAGCCTTAAGTACAGGCAACTCTCAAGGGAAGTGTAGCTGTATCGGAAGAGAGAGTTAGTAGCTGGTAAGGGGAGAAGGATTAAGGGAAGTTTTATTTTAAAATAAAGAATTTTGAGTAATCTTAAATTTTGTGATACATTATGAGTTTCTCAAGTTGAGAGGGAGAAGTTGAATTGATAAGATAGTGGGAATTGATAAGAAGAGTGTCCTGTGCAGAGCCCAGAGGCCTACTGTGCTGGTCTTGTTGGGCAAGACCAGGTGTCTGTGCAGCTGCAGTGGAGGCCTGGGGAAGTGTGGCAGACAGTGCTCGAGGAGACGGGCTTGCCCACCAAGGACCTTTTCAAGCACTTAGCCAGGAGTGATGAGGCACCACCTGAGAGGAGACAGAAACTGCTCATGGAGAAAAGGAAGGAGAGGGTGGGGAGGTGTGAACCATGTGGTGTCTTTCCTGAAGGACCAGGTCCCTGATCAAGGTTCAGGGAGTTGTAGGGAAGAAGAGTAGAGGGAAGCATGGAGGTTCGTTACTAGAGAGGCTGTTGGGATAACTGGAATATTATGGGGCACAGGGAGGCAAGAGTGAGCAGATAGGGAGCCATTCTCGCCCTCCCTGGAACACAGGAGGGCAGCCAGGGGCAGAGCTGCTTATCCCCTCAGAGGGTTGGCTGTAGCATGTTTTGTGAGCTCTTCCCACTTCTGCTGCTGTTCAAACTGTGCTGTCAGTATCTTGGGTTTTGAAGCAAGTGAATACTGGTACCACTCACCTTGATTTGTCTTTACAAACTGTTAAGAGTAAGCCTGATGGCAGTTTTACTCTGGAATACATCATTTTTAGTGGTCTTTTGAGGGAGATTGTATAGCTCAGGCTCGAGCTAGGGTGCCTGGGTTTCAATTTGAGTTCTCCTAGTGGAAGCTGAGTAAGTAACCTTGGATAAGTTACTTTGCCTCTGTTTTCTTGTCTGTAAACTTAAAATAATGAGTGTGCCTTCATAGGATTGTTTGGGGGATTGAATGAGAATTGCACATAAAGCACTTAGAACACTGTATGACTTTTTTGTTTGATGTTGCTGCTGCAATATTTGGGAATGAATTCAGGGATGCTCTACCACTAAGCTACATCACCAGCCCTATTTATTTATTTATTTATTTATTTATTTATTTATGGTCCCTGGGATAGAACTCAGGACCTTGCACTTTCGAGGCAGGCAGTGGCACCACTGAGCTAAATCCCAGGCTATTTTTTATTTTAAGACAGGATCTCACCAAGTGGCCGGGCTGGCTTCACACTTGCTATCCTGCTTCAGCCTCCTGAGTTGCTGGGATTACAGGCATGCAGCAGTGTGCCTGACTGTGTGACACTTTTTTACTGTTTGTACTGGTTGAAGCCAGGACCTTCGTTTGCACTAAGCTAAATCCCTGACCTTTTTTTTATTTCTGAGAAGGGTCTTGCTAAGTTGCTAAACTTTCCAGGCTGGGCTCAAATTTGTAATCCTCCTGCCTCAGCCTCGCAGAGTGCTGAGTTTACTGGTGTGTGCCACCACACCCGGGTTGTGTGACACATTTTAAGTACTCAGAAAGAATGAATGAAGCAATGAGGCAATGGTGGCGAACCTATGGTGTGTGCCACAGCTGGCTGTTTGGTATCATTGAAAGCTCTAAAAGGTTCGCATCACTGGTTTGGGGTCTTAATGCTGTGGTTGCATTGTTGAAGCACTAGAGGGCGGCAAAGCTCTACTCTTCAGTTTATCCACATTTGCCAGAAGGGGCTCCTTGGCTAAATTAATTTATTTTCCTCTTCAGATCCCTAGATTATGCAAGGTGAAATGGTTTTGTTTTCTTTCACCCTCAGGCTTCTTTCAAACTTCTGATTGAAATTTGTTTGTTTTGAGACTCATATTTTATTCATTAAAAATTTTTTTAAAGTGTTTTGGCTCAAGTAACAAATGCACACAGTGGAACATCGCGTAATATAGAGTAGCTGTTAGAAAATGCAACAAGCCATTCATTGGCCCAGGCTGCTGTGCTCCTTGTCCTCCAAGAGCACCACTTCCAGCTGGTTTGATTGTCAGGTAATTTTGAATAGCTGACTTTTAGATTACTTCAACCAAAGTGTTTCACAATCTAACTATTAAATAGTGTCTCTTGGAGCTTGATGGGTTAGACATTGTGGGGTTTTGTTATGCACTTCTACTCCAGGCTCTGTGGTGGCGTTCACTGCTCAGGTGACTAGCACTGAGTAGGTCATGAGGATAGTGTGATGAGTGCTTCAGGTGTGCTGTGATGCATGCCACTAATCCCAGCATTCAGGAGGTTGAGGCATTAGGATCGCTGTGAGTTCGAGGCCAGCCTGGAGCACATAGCAAGACCTATCTCAAGAATCAAAAAGAAGGGCTGGGAATTTAGCTCAGTAGCATAGCACCTGCCTGGCAAGTGCGAGGTCCTGAGTTTGATCCCTAGTACCACACACACATACAAAAGAACCAAAAAGAAGAAAAGAATGCTGGAGAGGACGGGCACCTGTCCTGTCCTGGGAAAACCACCAGCCAAGGCTTTGTGGAAGAGGTGTGTGTGAGCAGAGACCTTCAAAGTAGGACCTGGTTTGGCTCATGAGAAGGACAAGGAAAAGAGTATGCCTGGAGGGGTACGGCAGGACTGAAGCATCAAATGACTCTAGTGTGGCCCAGCTAGCGGGTAGCACTCTGGTGTAGGAAGTGCACTGTGATGACGCTGGCACAGAGGGAGAGCCCATCATGAAGGCATTTCATGTTGTGTCAGAAAGGTTGTGTCTTATCTGAGAAAAATGGAGAACCACCAAAAGGTTATAATGGTAAAACAACATGGGTGCATGTGTATTTTGTAAAGATTAGTCTTGAACCGGTGTGTAGAATCTATTGCATGGCATGGGACTAGTTAGGAAATGGCAAAGAGCTGCCTTGAGATAGTGTCAGAACTTGGAGGGAAAGGAAAAGTCAAGAATGATTCCTCGGTTTCTGGTTTGAGAAGCCGGATGCAATGCCTATTCTTTTTTTTTTTTTTTTTGGTACCAGGGATCGAACTCGGGTCCTTGCACTTGCAAGGCAAGCGGTGGAACCACTGAGCTAAATCCCCAGCCCTGCAATGCCTATTCTTGAGCCTTGAAGTCCAGGTAGAGAAAGAGAAGCTTATAAACAGTGGAGTGGTGCACACCTGTAATCAGGATGACTGTGAGTTCAAGGCCAGCCTGGGGTAGATAGTGAGCTCAGGGCCAGCCTGAAGTACTTAGTGAGTTTGTCTCAAATTAAACAAAAAGAAGAAGAAAAAGAAGATTTTATGGTCATTTTAGATTTATTGAGTCTCATTTGGCTATGGAGACATCTCATTAGAGATATCAGTACAATTGGAATCAGAGGAGACTCTTATTACTTACTGTCTTTGTTATCTCCCACAGGTTACTTACCAACTCCAAGTCCCTTTTCTGTTAAAGGGAGGTGTTGATAATATCTACAAAAGGTCCTTATGTTCCTTAAAAGGAAGACCATAACAAACACCCAGCACAGGTCAGACCTAGAGCAGGGAGCAGTAAAGTGGTTTGTTCCTTTCTTTGGGAATTAGGAGTAGTATGCCCTCAGGCTTGTTACTCTTTGTGTGAAGTCAGCAATTTGTAATTCAATGTCCTGAAGAAAATAAACACCTAAAATGTGCAATCTGTGTAGCTCATACTTTAAGCCATCATAGATGGCTTACGATTTTATGTATCACCCTAAATACCTTTGCTTTTCACTGTCATTGCTTAACCCTGACATTCCCCCTTGTTTAGAAAGCATGCACCTTCATCAAATCTAACCTTGATCCCAGCAATGTGGATTCTCTCTTCTATGCTGCCCAGTCCAGCCAGGTCCTCTCAGGGTGTGAGGTGAGTCCAGATTTCTACACTGATATTTACTTTAAACTGTAAAGTATATTTTTAAAGGGGGAAAGTTATGTTGTATTATTATTATTTTGTTTGGGGGGGCGGGTGTTGGGAGACAGACCCAGGGCCTCCTGCATGCTAGGCAAGTGCTTTACCACTGAGCCATACCTCCACCCGTATTATTTTTTATTTTTTATTTTTTTTGGTACCAGGGATTGAACTTGGGTCCTTGAGCTTGCAAGGCAGGTGGAGGAACCACTGAGCTAAATCCCCAGCCCCACCCCTATTATTTTTAGTTGAAAAATGAGACCATTGGTGTGAGTGGGAATTCCATTCCTATGGTTCTTTTTTTCCTTAAGAAAGTATAATATTTTTCCCCTAAATTTTCACTTTTCATGAGTTTAAAGTAAGTTTGTCCAGCAATTGTTGCCTGTCTCTGAGGAGGCCTTGAGTTTTTCATTCCATGTCCCATTTAACATTGTAAAATGTTCTAAGTGTACCCCTGCCTGAGAGTTCCAGGTCATTTTATTGCAGATAGGAGAACCACATAGGTAGATAGGAAACTTGTCAGTCTTTTTTAAAAGGGGTCATGCTGAGGTTTTTGAATATTTAATTCTCAGGTCTGGGGATTAGAGGAGTAGTGAACATGTGCTGAGCGTGACTTGTCAGCTGCCACAAATTGCCAGAATTTGCTAAAACTCTGTCTGCCATTCCTTTCCTAGATCTCTATTTCAAATGAGACCAAAGATCTGCTTCTGGCAGCTGTCAGTGAAGACTCATCTGTTACCCAGATCTACCATGCAGTCGCAGCCCTTAGTGGCTTTGGCCTTCCCGTGGCATCCCAGGAAGCACTTGGTGCCCTTACTGCTCGTCTTGGCAAGGAGGAAACCGTGCTGGCGTGAGTTGTCAGTTGGAGTGATTCTTTGGCTTCCTTTGAGTTGAATCCTGTCCTGAGAGGGTTCATTCACTGGTATAACAAATGTTCCCTGGGCACCTACTGTGTGCCAGGTACTCTGCCAGGCATAGCAGACACAGCACTGCACTAAGGCAGTAAGGCCCCTGTCCTTGTGTGCTCACATAGACCCCGTCTTCTGCAGGCCACTCAGGCAGAAGGCAAGTATTTAGTCATTGTGAACTCATGGCTGAGGAGAGAGGCAGCTGCATTTTGAGGTTAGAGGGCTAGAGCAAGGGCCGGTGACTGAATGAGAGTAAGGCCTGGGCTACATGCATCTGATCTGGAGGTGTGGCCGGGCAAGTGAGATGTTGGCAGTGAGGGCTGCGCAAAGGAGGATGGCTTTCGGGATCTCTTGGAGTTGTGAGATGTACTATTTGGTGGGAGTTATGGGCACTAGAGGGTAGAGTACTCTAGGAAGCAGACTCTGCTGTTCTCAAAAGAAGTAGGCAGAGGAGAAGCACCTTGGAGGAAAGGAGCTTTGGGCAACTTTCCTGATTATCAATTTTTAATTTTATTTGTTTATTTATTTGCCATACTGAGGATTGAACCCAGGGCCTTATTGTGTGAGACCTGAGTAACTCCATTTTAAAATTTGGCCCCATCTTAGAGTAAGGTTGCCTGGACATAAATTCTAGTTCCAAGAAAAACCACAAGATGTACTTTGGCCACCTGCCTGTGATAATGTTCAGCAGTCCCCTAGCAACTAGCCTAGCAGCAGCTAATCAGTAGCTGCCTCAATGTCCCAGATGCTCTTCTCGATGGCCTGCAACAGCTAATCAGTAGTTAACCTAATACCCCAGTATCCCAGATGTTCTTTTCGATGACTTGAGCAGCCGTTTGCAGTTCAGCGTGCAAGGCCCAACCTATTAGGTTTAAACTTTCAAAACTTGCTAAATGCTAGCCAATTGTGTGATTTGCGTGTGAGTTGAAACCCCGCGCCTTTTTGAAACCCCGCGCCTTGCTGTAACCTCTATAAAAACCCCTGGTGTTTTAGAGTCAGGGCTCTCAATCTTGACCCACTGCGCAGTGACAGTTGAGAGTCCCTGCTCGAGCTTGAATAAATGACCCTCGTGTGTTTGCATCGGAATCGGCTCCTTGGTGGTCTTTGGGGACCTCGCGATCTGGGCACAACAATTGCATGCTAGCTAAGCAATCTCCCACTGAGCCACATCTACTGGCCTGGGACTTGTTCCTCCTGCCTCAGCCTCTTTGAGTAGCTGGAATTATGGGTGTGTCCACTGTGCGTAGCTTTTCCTTATTATTATAAATGGGAATCTTAGCCAGATGTGGTGGCACATGCTTGTAATCCCAGCACTCTGGGAGGCTGATTCAGGAGGATTCCAAGTTTGAGCCCAGGCAATTTAGAGACTTAGTGTGAGATTTTTACCTCAAAATAAAAAATTTTAAAAGGGACTGGAGATCTAGCTCAGTGCAAGGGTCTTGGGGTCAATCCCCAGTACAGGGGCTGAGGTGAGAATCTTGTAATTCACTTTAGGATGTTTGCTAAATTTAAAAGTAATGATATACTGCCGGGTGTGGTGGCACTCGCCTATAATCCCAGCACTGGGGGGTGGGGTGGGGGGGTGGCGCTGAGATAAGAGGATGGATCACAGAGAGTTGGAGGCCAGCCTGGGTTAGTGAGTTCAAGTCCAGCTGAACTGCATAGCGAGACCCTGTCTCAAAAATCAAACAAAAACAAACAAAAGTAATGATATACTGACTGTAATTTTTTTCTTTAACACTGAACTCCTCACTTAAAACAATAATTTTTTTGTTCTTTTCTATGTGCCCCCATTTAATTGCAACCCCTGAAAGTGTGAAGTACCTGGAGGGTCTTGATTATTTAGCCAGAGGTTGGTGACACCAATTCCCCCTTTCTGAGCAGTGAGATTACCACCACCGCCGCCACCACCCTGCCACCTTTTCTTTTTCTAACAACCAGATTGTCTCTAAATTTGAAGCTTTGTTAAGGGGAGGGTTCAGTTAGCCTTCTCTGTCACTCTTCCCCCTACTCATATTCACAAGGCTAGTAATCAGAGGTTTGGGACTGGTTCTTTTCCCAGGGCTGATGTTCTGTAGGTGTTTTGCCCAGCACTTAGCCCTTGCAATCCTTTGATTTCAGGTGACATTTTTTCTCATAATCCCTTTTGATGGAATGCTTCCCCAATTACCATCACATCATATTTTAGAATCACTGGCAGTACCTTGCTCTAATGCTACTCACTACGGAAAAAACCTTCCCATTTCCCTCCAAGTGAAAAGGGAGATCTTCCTCAAAAACCCCAGAATAGGAAGAAGTACCAGAAAAGTACACCTGCTTGAGAGCCCAACTTGGGTTTGAATACCAGCTATGTTCCCTCCTTGCTTGCTGTGTAACTTTGGGCAAGTTAGTAACTTCTTTGATCCTTGCTTGCCAAACGGAACCAATAATTCTTACATCACAGAGCAGATGTCAGGATAAAGTAAAATAATAGATTTGAAGAGCCTAGTGCAATGCCAGTTCCTTGAAGTCCTTTCCTAAGAAGTCCTTCCTTTCTTAGATCCCTTTCTTAGGGATCCAGATACTTCCTTGCTTCCTTCCTTTCTTCTTTACCCCCTTCCTCTTCTTTCTCCTCCTCTTTCTCTTCTTTCTCTCTCTTTTTTTTTTGGAGACAAGGGCTTGCTATGTAGTTCAGGCTGGCCCTGAATTCACTATGTATCCCAGGCTGACCTTGAACTTGTGGCTATCCTTCTGCCTCAGCCTCCTGAGAACTGAGATTACAAGTTTGTGTTTCCATACCCAGCTCTGTAGTTATTTCTATATTAGGTCCTAAGCTTCTTTATTTGCAGTGCTCTTAGAGCCTGGCAAATTGAATGTGCCCAATAAAGAGTTAATAAAGGCTGACATTATACTTTTCTGTTTCTGTTGTCCCATAAAAGCTTATAGGTAGAAAGCACTCATGCTTCTGATCAAATACAACCGTGTTCAAACCCCCCTGAGTCTCAGTGTTTTCACAGGTAAAACCTAGAGAATGGTATCTTTCTCACAGGGTTATTGTGAAGATGATACTGGTAGGATACTTTTTATTTTACTGCTACTGATTTGTCATATTTAGGGAAATCTGATGTAAACCAGAACATTTTGAAATGAGCCTTTTGTACTTAAGTAGAGTTATTCTAGGAAATACATGTTCATAAATCTGTCTTGAAAAGAGAAGATATTTTTAAGTTTGAATGAACCATTTGAAAAGATGTCATTGCAGTTGCTCATAAACCAATTTCTCTGAATCATCTGCATGACAAGATCTGCTTCCTTTTTTTTTTTTTGGTATCGGGGATCGAACTCGGGTCCTTGCGCTTGTGAGGCAGGCAGCGGAACCACTGAGCTAAATCCCCGGCCCTCCAGCCTGTCATCTTAATGGAATTAGTTTTCCATGGAGGAAATGTGAATTGTTATGATCTCAACATAAGTAGACAGATTCTTGTTCTACATTCACTGACACATTGACTTGAGAAGTGGTGGTTTCCACAGGGCCCAGTCATCTCTTAGGAATTAGGAAACCATTCTGAGCTCGAGCAGCAGACTGTATGACCACCAGGGGGCTGCAATTTTCCTTAGTTCACCCTGAGATACACCATTTATATTTTCCCAACTGCATTAGAATAGAATCTAATAAAAAGTCATATGTATACGTACCTGTTACGTTCCATCTTAAAAAGTTTATCTTACAGAATGCACTCACAAGTGGACAAAAATGTATGAATAAACCATACAAATAAAGTATTGATGCTTTCTACAACATGTGTGAGTCTCAGAAACATTATGCTAAGTCAGAGAAGCAGAAATAAAAGGTCACATATTGTATGATACCATTTATATGACATATCCAGAATAGGTAAATCCTTGAGACAGAACATAGATTGGAGGTTTCAGGGGTGGGGTAGACAGAATGAGGAGAAACTGCTTAATGGGTACAGGATTTTTCTTTGGGCTAATGCAGATGTTTTGATTCTAGGTAGGTAGTGGCTGTACAACATTGTAAATATTGTCAATGCCATTGAATTAATCATTTTAAAATGGTCAGTTTTGTTAATGTGAATTTTGCCTTAATAAATTTTAAAATTATATATATGGATAAAGGTTGTCCCTTATAGCATTATAAGGCTTCATTTTTTAAAAATAGTTTGTCATTTGGAGATGAAGTGAATAAATTATGGTATATTTAGGCAGTGTAATACATAACATGCCATTGAGAATGAAGTACAGTTACACATACTCATAAAGAAAGATGTATGCAAAGATTATTAAATTTAAGCAAGTTGGAAAGCAGTTGTAAAGGTGGGTGTTACAGGAATTTTAAATGTCTGAAAATTTTTTTTTTTTTTTGGTACTGGGGATTGAACTCAGGACCCTGCGTTTGCCAGGCAGGCGCAGCTGAGCTAAATCCCCGGTCTAAAACGTCTGAGTTTTTGATCAATACTGTAAGTACTTTTATAATTTAAAAAATGGTCAAATAAGAAAATGAGAATAAACTATGGTTTAGGACTAAGTCTTCTTTATATTTGGTGCCTGAAAGATGAGTGACATTCAGATCTCTCAGCAGGATGATGGTAGCTCAAATATAACCCAGGTTTTCAGCACACATTGACTGAATGTGTCATATCTATGTCGTATTACTGGTTTCAGAAAAGTTGCCGTAAATTCTACCCATCAATTTATAAATGTAGATTCTACAATCTCTTTTATCTTGAGTAAGAAGAATAGAAGATTAATAAGCAGCCAGTATTGGCCCAGTGTAGTGTCTTGTACAACATTAAGGATGCCAAATATACTTTGGTTGGATCCTAGTCTCCATAAAGCATACCCTTATAAACTTAACTAATTCTTGGTCTCAGTATTCTATTCTTTACCCTTTAGAACAGTCCAGGCTCTGCAGACAGCGTCCCATCTGTCCCAGCAGGCGGACCTGAGGAGCATTGTGGAAGAGATTGAGGTATGAATCTGTTTGTCCAAATGGGTCTCTTACCTTCTGTCTTTGATAGCTTTCAGAAGAATCTTGCACATAAGCATGCCTGATTTGTTACATCCAGCAACATTTCATATTCATGCCATACTTACGTTCTTTATTTTAGAGCAGTATATCCCAGGGAATATTTCTTAGGCTAATATACCATAAATTAGGCAACAAGTTGTTTTTTCAGCTTTTGTAGAGGTAGTCTAATAGTACACAGGTTTTAGAGCCCAATAAACCTAAAACTTATACACTTTTTTTCTGCTGCTTACTGCTTTGTAATTTTAGGCAATATGGCGGTTGCAGGAACAACTGAGGTTCTAAAGCACCTTGTAGTTAATAGGTGCTCTGTAAGTAGCCAGTGTGGTTTTTTATTATTTTGCTATCCTTTGTCCAGGACAGTGCTCTTGAGGAAAACCTCTAGACCGTGTAGTCAGTGTTGACAGGCAGGACTGGCAGGTCATCACTGCTTCACAGGTACCTCAGGTTCCCAGTTGTGTTGCCCAGTTGAGCAGTCTGTCTCTCATCTTTTAGAACATTGACTAAGAAAGGGAAGTAGTGTGCTTATAGGTTGTCTCTGAATGGATAACCATGGAATCCATCTGTGTGGTGATGCTTCCTGGGTGTACTTCAGCCTGGCCCTCTGATCTGCCCAGAGCAGCTGGTGCCTCCAGTGTCATGGCTCCTGGGCTTGGGCAGGAGCAGAGCAGATGCACTTCCAGAGCTGCTGAAGATACTGCTCTCCGAGGGCATCTATATGATATACTTGACCCTCTGCCTAAGCACCTTTTGTGGGAAAGTGCTAAGTGCCTGAGGTAGTCTTCACATTTAGAGCGAGAGATATTTCAGATCTGTCTGCACTGGGCCCACATGTCATCTCTGGTGGCTTGACTTCTAGCATGTTTCTGTTTCTTTGTAACAGGACCTTGTTGCTCGCCTGGATGAACTGGGGGCGGTGTATCTCCAGTTTGAAGAAGGATTGGAAACCACAGCATTATTTGTTGCTGCCACCTACAAGCTCATGGACCATGTGGGGACCGAACCATCTATTAAGGAGGTAGCTGTCTAACAGTCTCAGGCATGAAACCTAAGGGGCCTGTCAACTTTATCTGCTGAGAACATCTGTTTTCAGAGAGGATGTCCACATGACACCTTGGGATGTTGTCACTCAGTGTCAGTGTTGTCATTCAGCCATTAAGAATGAGAAGTGGAAAGAAAGAATGCCAGTGGTAAGAAACTGGTTGTCAGTATGACAGTCATGTAAACAGATGTCACACTGGCTTCAAGTGGAGTACGGATATGTCGTGAGGTAGTAGCAGGAAGGCCAAGTGTGTTATGTGTTCCATCTCCCTTTTTCTGCCTTCTGCTTATTTTGTGTGTTCTACTTAATGGCCCCTACAAATCCTCTTTCTCTGAGAAGACCTGTGTACTTCAAAATTGTCTCTTTTCTCCTCTTGCCCCATCATTCTTGGCAGTGGATAAACCTAGGTAAAATTGCTTGACGTATTTTACTGAGAGGCACATGTCTACTAGATGCCATTATGAATTCTTTTTTTTTTCAAGAAGATCTTGTTAACCTGAATGAATTTTTCAATGGAATATGCGTGGAAGTCTTTTAGAATAGGACCTTCTCTGTATCCTTTGTGTGAGCGGTCACCAACCCATGATCTAAAGTACTGTACTTAAAATACAAACTAATACTGTATAAATTTTCAGGGGAGAAATTTCCATTTGAAGCTAGAACTTTCATTTCTTTTATGCAGTATGTGTTTTTTGGCAAGTTTCTTTAAACAGTAAATAATTGTCTTGGACAATTTGAATTAATTTCATATTTTCTCCGAAGAATATAATCTAATAATTTATTCATGTATTTACATTCTTAATTGTAACTTTTCCTTCATCCTAAATGGAGATGTCTAGAAATTTCTTCTATGGATGAAACTGGAGGAATATAGGGTCTTACGGTATAAATTATCTGGAGATTCCCTTACCCAAAATAAAGTAGATGAAGTGACTGCATGTAGTACATACCTGTAATCTCAGCACTCCGGGTGGCTAAGGCAGGAGGCAAGTTCAAGCCCAGTCTGGACAATTTAGAAAGATCCTTCCTCAAGATAAAAATATGGAAAAGGGGCTGGAAATAGGGGATGTAGCTCAGTGTGAAGACTCTATGTTCAGTCCCTAGTACTGCCAAAAAAAAAAAAAAAAGAATTGATGACATTCTGCATCCACAATTTAAACTTTTTCTTGCTTTATTTCCAAGCTTCTCCTAACTAGGTATTTGGCTGGAGTAATTTTGCTGTTACTGCTTTTGACACAACAATTCTGGAGAACAGTCACCCATTTTAACATGTCAATAGCCTAGTGATGGAAAAATGTAATTGGTACAATTAAAGAAAATTATTTCATGTTGACTGTGAATAACACTGTTAGGAACAAGGGAGCTCTTTTGTTAGATGGTAGATTTTTAAAAACAGAACTGATTGAAGTGGAAAATGTTTCCTCTTAAGCAAACAACCTCCAGAATTTAAATAATGCCTTTTAGGTTCCACTTGTTTTAAATTGCTTTTAGTTTTCTCCTCCAAGCAACCCATTAGCCCTTAGTGGAGAGGTACTTTAGTTTCTTTCTACTGTACCTTTTGGCTGTAAAGTTTGGTCTTAAAAAAACAAACTTAGTCCCAGTTTACTTCTTGGTCAAATAGGAGGGAAGGTAGTTTAGCTGGGAGGGTTATGGGAATCAAGAAAGAATAAATTTTCTTACTGTAGGACTTTAGTGAGAACAAACCTACATTTGCATTTTGCCTGACTCTCTCCTTTCCTTTCCCTCCCTTCTTCCTCCCCTCCTCTCCCTCCCCTCCCCCCCTCCCTCCTTCCCTCCCTCCCTTCCTCCCTTCCATAGGGCCAGGGATTTAGTTCAGTGGTGCTGCCACCTGCTTTGCAAGCCAAAGGTCCCAAGTTTGATCCCTGGTACCAAAAAAAAAAAATTCTTCCTTCCGTTACAACTTGTCAAAATTATTTAACCTGCTTTAGTTTTAGTTTCTTCTTTTGGAAAACATTGGCAATACCAATCTTTTAGGATTTTTGTCAAGATTCAAGACAGTGCACATAAAACACCTGCCGTGATGATTGTGTGTGTAGGCATTTAACAGATGGTTAATATTACATTAATTTTATAGTTTATAAATTTTGTACTTGTTTACTTACAATTTTGCATATCCTGCTGGGTGTGGTGGCACATGCCTGTAATCCCAGCACTTCGTAGGCTGAGGCAGGAGGATTGCTGTGAGTTTGAGACCAATGAGACCCTGTCTCAAAAAACAAACAAAAACCAAACCAAAATAAAAAATTTTACATATCTCAGTAGTTGTCTTGGAATACCCTGTTTTTTATAGTAATCATTCACTAAAGGATTGGCAAATAGGTGAATATCCTTTTATATTAAAAGACAGAAAATACAGTTGAGCTCAAGTTCAGTTTAAATGTATATTTGCTTTCCCTTCTACCATTTTGGATAAGGGCTGGATGTGCTTTAGCAGAAACACTTGACACACAAGGAATGACTAGAATCTGTGGGGCTGGCAATGACTAGAATCTTCTGTGGAGGGAGAGCTGAGCTGCCTTTCCTTTTCTTTCAGGATCAGGTTATCCAGCTAATGAACACAGTCTTCAGCAAGAAGAACTTTGAGTCACTCTCTGAAGCCTTCAGTGTGGCCTCTGCTGCTGCTGCACTCTCCCAGAATCGCTACCATGTGCCAGTTGTGGTTGTGCATGAGGGCTCTGCTTCTGACACTCAGGAACAGGCTATCCTGCGGGTATGACCTCCATGCCACTTCCAGTGTTGAGCCTCTCAGAAAGCCGAAGGCTGCAGGTTACAGCCAATTGTGGCTCCCATGAGGACACAAAGCTCGTTTTAGCCTGGAGATGAGGGCATGACCACTGTGGAGCAAGTCACAAAACTCTGCAGATCTGTCTCACTCATGCACACACAGCCCTGAAGATTTCAAATAGTGTAGGCTTTCATTAAGTGAAGACCAAGAAATTGTGTTTCTGGGTCCGTAATTGTAGAGGTACAGTCAAGACATTTCCTAGAGTTAGAACTTTACAAATACATTGTTTTAAGACAGCTGTTTTAATTTCAAAGTAATTCTGGTGGTTATAGTTGTTAAAATAAATACAGATCTCTTTCTTCCTGGTTCTCATTATCTTTTTATCTCTCTCTCTAAACAATAAGCACAGATTTAGATCTTTATAAGATTAGCATTTTGTTTTCGGGAAGTCCTGTCTGTCCGGTGGTTCCTATAGACACCTTCTGAGGAAGTACCCTGTATCTCAAAATTGCAAATCCCCCATCACTAAAGAGGAGGAGAAATAAGCTGATTAACATAGTTCACTTTGAGGCAAATGGGCACTCTGAGAGCAAAGACTCACGCTGGATAAGTCTGGGGTGTGAGTCCTGGCTCAACTACTAATCTGTCCAGGTGGCCTTTGGTAGTCCTTAACCTCTTATGGCCTGTTTCTTCATCTATAAAACAGGAAGTATGCTGTCCATCTCAGTTGTTTGATGGGAAGCTATCTGTAAAGGGCCGAGACTAGTGTCCAGAATATAGCTGCCTGAATAAATGTTAGTGCTTAATGTTATCCATGTTTTTTCAGTTTTACCATTGGCTGATTTCTTCCTGAGGTATTTTTTCATTTCATTTTGTTTTGTTTTTTGAGACAGGGTCTTGCTGTGTAGTTCAGGCTGGGCTTGAACTCACTATATTAGCCCAGGCTGGCCATGAACTCACAGCAACTCTCCTACCTCAGCCTCCCGAGTCCTGCGATTATAGGCATGCACCACCACACCCAGCATGAAGTATTTTTCTTATGATGATTTTTTTTTTCGGTTGTGAGTATTGAACCCAGGGTTGTTGCACTGAGCTATACCCCTACCCCTTTTCCTATTGTTTATTTTGAGACAGTGAGACAGGGTCTTGGCTAAATTGTTAAATTGCCCAGGCTGGACTCACACTTGGAATCTTTCTGCCTCGGCCTCCCAGAGTACTAGGGTTATAGGCATGCACCACCAGGCCTGGCTTTTCTTTTTTTTTAAGATAGTATATTAGAGGACTGGGGATTTACCTCAGTGGTTTTGCCACTTGCTATGCAAGCGCAAGGACCCAAGTTCGATCCCTGGTACCAAAAAAAAAAAGATAGTATATTAGAGTAGATAGAACAGGAGATGAGAAAGAAGGAAATTATAACTAATTTGGAACCAGTCATTTTCTTTCTCTGGGCTGTAGTTCAGTTCTCTAAAAACAGATAATTGGGCAAGGTCATCTTTAGCATCCTCTTCAGTTCTAGCATTTTATAATCAAACTCATTCCTAACTGAATTGTGTTTTCCCCATATTTGATCTCTGGAAGGCAGCGGACCAAAAGTCAGTGAAAATGCTCTGAAGTAGGACATTGTACTATTACCTGTAGACAAAACAATAGAAACAAAATTCTCTGCTACTGCATGCAGCCTTTGCTGCTAATTATTTCTTTGTTTATTTATTTACAGTTGCAGGTCACCAATGTTCTGTCCCAGCCTCTGACTCAGGCCGCGGTTAAACTAGAACACGCCAAGTCTGTAGCGTCCAGAGCCACAGTCCTCCAGAGGACTCCTTTCACCCCTGTGGGGTAAGTGCTGGGTGCAACTGGTTTGCGTGGTACCATCCTATTTGTTTGGAAAGTTAGCTTGAGCCAGTAGAACAGATTAATATGAGTATTACTAAGATCATAAAACCACATTTGCCTGAACTTGATAAAGTCCTACAGGTCAGTATAATCAAAGGTTTTCTAAAGCTAAAACAATTTTGATTTTAAATGTAATATATATATTTTTTCTGATGTATAAGTACTACATATTTATAATAAAGATCAGAAAAGCACACAAAAAAATATGCTAGCAGGGTGCACTGGCACGTCCTTGTACTCCTAGCACTTGGGAAGCTGAGGAAAGAGGATTATGAGTTTGAGGCCAACCTGGGAAACATAGACTCTGTCTTAAAAAAAAAAAAAATGAACTACTCAAAATTTTACCACTCAGGGATAACTACTGCTAACATTTTATAATCTTATTTTTTTTCTTCAGTCTTTTCTATGCATATAAATACATTTTTTAAATTAAGGCCAGGTGTGATGGTGCATACCTGTAATCCCAAGATTTGGGAGGTTGAGGCAGGAGGATCACTGCAAGTTCGAGGCCAGCCTGAACTGCATAGTGAGACCCTGTCTCAAAAAAACGAAAAATAAATAAATTAAATTAAATTAGGGCTATGCTTTCTCTGTAACTACAAGTCATGAAATTTCCCCATAGGATTAAATATTCTTCTACAATCTTTTTTTTTGTTTCTTTTTGGTACTGGCGATCGAACTCAGGACCTTGTGCTTACGAGGCATGTACAGTGCCACTGAGCTAAATCCCCAGCCCAATCTTTTTCTTTTTGAGATGTGGTCTCATTACATAGTTCAGGCTAACCTTGAACTCACTATATAGTCCAGGCTGGCATCAAACTCATGGCGATCCTCCTGCCTCAGCCTCCTGAGTGCTAGGATTAGAGATGTGTACCATCATTCCTGGCAACAGTTATTTTTTAACAGCTGCATATTATCACATTTGTTTTTAATGGTACTGGTGGCTGAACCAAAGGTATTTGCACTGAGCTACATCCCCAACCCTTTTTCAGCTTTTTATTTTGAGACAGGGTCTTGATAGGTTGCCAAGGCTTGGCTTGAACTTGCCGTCCTCCTGCCTCAGCCTCTCAGAGTGCTGAGATTACAGGCAGGCACCACTACACATGGCTATGCTGTGTAATATTTTTCAAATTTAAAGGTAAACTTTTGTATGAAAATTATTAAATGTTATGTTCTTATGTTTTTGAGACCAATAGGTTAGAATATTAGTACATTTCTTGGACAGTCATAAAGATTCACAAGTGATACATAAAATTAAAAAGCAAAATTATTTTTAGGAATGATCAGTGATTAGACCACATTGGGATTTTTCTGTACAGTTGAAGTTAGAAGTTCTCTACCTTTTTTCCCTTTAAAATAAGACTTATTTTTTATAAAAGTAGGATATATCCTTTTTTGAGAAATTCACAAAACATAGAAATGTAGTAATGAGAGAAAAAAACCCTACAATTATACTACCCTGCATTAGTATCTTTGACTATTTTACATTCTTATTCTCATTCTCTCTCTCTCTCTCTCTCTCTCTTTCTTTCTCTCTTTCCTGTTTTTAACATCATTCAGGACTGCGTGTGTAGCTCAGTGTCGAGTGCTTGTCTAGCATGCAAGAGGCCCTGGGTTCAGTCCCCAGACTGCAAAAAAACAATTGGGATCATACTGTATAGATGCACCTGTTTTGCATTACATTTTGGAAAGCTACTAGAGGGAGGTGAAATGTTGGAGAAAGGTCAAAGGAAAGAAAACTTTGGAGGCTAAGGATAGTTTTTATCCCCACACTGTAATCTGTGAGTAAGCAGAATATTACCCAAGTGGGCTGCCAGGTTGAAAGTGAGAGAGTAGAGCCCTGTATTGTCTCAGGGAGATACTTTGTAGCCGGTTTGTTATACTCCTGACTTTACTATGTGAGTGCCTGCTAACCCTACTGTCATTCTTAACAGGGATATTTTTGAACTAAACTTCGTGAATGTCAAATTTTCCAGTGGTTACTATGACTTCTCTGTAAAAGTTGAAGGTGACACCCGTTATATTGCAAACACTGTAGAGGTAGGTCCTTTTCTTGTCACCTTCATTGCCATGTTGATAGACCCAAAGAACTGACCAAGGTATACAGCATTAATCATCTGGTGTATTGTATTGTCTTCTTGTTGTGACTAAGCTAATGTGACTGTATTAAAGATGGATGGATTTGAACTAAGGCACTTAATCAGAACAAATTTTCTTTTATTTGTTAGTTATCATTTTTCATTATAATTTTTGATTACTATCTCTTTTTTGGGGGGTGCTAGAGATTAAACACAGGGCCACACGTATGTACTTCTGAGCTACACCCTGCATTATTGTCTTAAATTTAGGAAGAAGAAAAATAAAAGTCTCCCCTAATTCCACTGAGGCATTAATAATCTTGAAATATTTTACGTGGTAGGCTTGGTAGGTTTAGAAAAGTGCTTGATGCCAATTAGGTGACTAAAAGCATCAAATGACTCAAAACACTAATGAGGCTATGGGTAAAACACAAAAGAAAACTAGTAGTCATGATGAGTTGTGTTTCAGATGTTTAGCTAACTCCATTTGGGTTGAAGACCCAAGTACCTTTAAGGACAGAAAGCTAAGCCTTGTTTATCTGATGCTGTGAAGGAAAGAGGCATTTCAGGTTAGTGTTTTACCCAGCTAATTGAAGTTTACCCTGCAAGCACTGTGGCTTTTGTTCTGACTTTTGTGGATATCAGTTTATTGAAGATGTACACCTTGTGCTGTGGAGTACAGTTGAACCCTTTCTTACTCCAAGGGTTGTCAGTATGAACATTGCTGAGTGCTTGGTATGTGGGAGGCACAGACCTGTGTGCTTCTGCTTACATTGCTTTACACTTGAAATAACCCTGAGAGGTGGGTTGCATGATCTTCATTTCATAGATGGAGCTCAAAAGTGGGGAGTAACTTGTCCAAGGTCATCTAGCCTGAAGGTGGGTGGATCCCCTGGGTAATACCAGTTTAGTTATGTGTCCTGCTGAGTATAGCACTAGCCACTGGCTGCAGAGCTGTGTGCCACTCCACGAGCTGGCTTCTTAAGTACTGTAATTAATTAACTGGAAATGGGATCTCAGTATGTTGCCCAGGCTGGCCTCAAACTTCTGGGCTCTGGTATTCTCCTGCCTCAGCCTCCTCAGTAGCTGAGGCACAGCTGCATGCTACTATGTGTGGGTCTGGCCTTTTTATTATGCCACTTTCACTTTCTCTTCTACTTCTTTCAGCCCTCTTAGTGACTATGTCATTTCTACTACTGTGTCTTTGTGTAAACTACTTAACTACATTGTATTTTTCTGCTTGACGAGGGACCGTGGAGTAGTACTGTGCCTTTCCTGAAATATTAAATATATGTGTTTGTAACAACTATTTTCCTTATTATTCAGATGTCATTTTTCATTCATTTTTCTTTTTAACTAAATTTTTATTTTTTCATTTTAAAATAATTCCAATCTTAATAAAGTTTGAAAAAATAGTGTGTAGAATTCTCAAATACACTTCATCTAGCTTCCCTAAATGTCAGCGTCTTAGGTAACTATAATAGAATTATCAAGACCAAGAAATTACATTGACATACTACTAACTAGCTTTTTTTGGAGGCGGGAGACAGGGTCTCCCTCTGTAGTTCCTGCTGGCCTTGAACTCACTGTGTACCCCAGGGTGACCTCGAACTCACAGCGATCCTCCTGCCTCAGCCTCCCAAGTGCTGGGATTATAGGTGTGTGTCACCACACCTGGCCCTACTAACTAAACTTAGCAGAAATATTAGTACAAATATTATCTGTAAAAGTTCTGACTGTGGCGTTTGCCAGAAGCTGACTTTCTCTTTCTTTCATTCCATCTACATTATTCATTGGAATTCTGAAAAACAACAAAAATAACCTTATTCTTTTTCATTTATTTGCATAATATAGAA